GGGGTGTGGAGGAGGCCGGTGTGGTCGTGGTGACGACCGTGATGGCGGGGGAGTTTCCCTCGAGCGTGGTGACACGATCGGAGTGGCGGCCATGGTGGTGTTGATGGTGGCGAGGGAGGACTTGAGGGCGGTCAACGTTTGGAGGATAGTTGCGAGTCCGGGGTGGTGGTGGTCAAAGTAGGCTGATCGCCTGCTAGTTCGTGGGCAATGTTGTTGACCCATTCGGAACGAAGATCAGACATGTTGATGGAAGATTGGGTCATGGTGGGGGAAGAGGGGGTGGATGACGGGTCCAGAGCGGAAGTGGAGGCGGTAGCAGTGGATGTGATAGCGGCAGCGGTGGCGCCGGCAGCGGCAGCGGCAGCGGCGTTGGCGGCGGCGCGTTGGGAGGTCTTGGTTTGGCGTGGTGGCATGTGGAGATGGGGGGGACAATTCCTATTTACAAGAATAGAGCGTCATCAAGTGATTTAGCAATGAAGGTAGCAGAGAATCGCAGAGCAAGAATTAATTTTGAATAAATTAATTTGAATTTAATCGAAATTAATTCGAGAGTGTATTTTTCAATAAACACGAAAGCGAAATTTTCAGGCATTTCCAAATGAAAAGAAATAATTAATTTCGAGAAAACTAGATTCTGACGCAATTTATTCGGATTGACGTTCGGGTTCCTAGGGTACCAGAGTGGCCCGGGGTCAGTTGCTCGGCTGGGCCAAAAAAAATAAAAAATATATATATTTCAATAATATTTGTAAATTTTATTTTTTATTTTAACTTGGGTGAAGAATTTCGATAAGACCCTGAGGCAAAAGTTGTTCAGTTTATTTTTCTGCATAACATAGTTTTTTTTTCGGATTTTTTGGATTTTTTTTTTTTTTTTTTTTTTTGTTGGGACCTTCTCTAGTCCTTGCACGGCCCGGCTGGTAGCCTAGTCGGGTTCTGAATAAAAAGAGAATTTCCAAAAAGAATTGTGAAAAAGAATTTTTTGAATTTCAAGAAAAATTGCAAAAAGGAATTTTAGGAATTAAAATATATGAGGAAATTTAATTAATTAAAATTATTTCTGAATTTCAAAAAGGAAATATCAAAAATTAATTCTAATTTCTAACGTATTTCCAAAAGTATTAAAAGTAGTCTCGGAAAAGAGAAGAAAAGAAAAGCAATGTTGATTAATTCGAACGAAAAGAACTTACTTATAAAATTTTTTTTTTCGAAAAACAATTAATGAAAATTATTTATGAAGTTCGAGGAAGGAAAACGTAATTTTAAAAATTTCAAAAAATAATTAATTAGAGATGTTTTCGGAAAAGAAATGTCAAAAAAGGAATTTAGTTAATTCTAGAATATTTTGAATTACAAAAAATTTGAAAAAATAAAATAAAATGAATTAAAATTATTTTCGAGTTTCAAAGAAGAGATTCCGAGAAAGAATGCTTAATCTTAAGCTATTTTTGAAAATTTCGAAAAAGAAAATATTTTTGGGAAAGAAATGTCAAGATAGATAGTTGATGAAGTATTTTCGAATTTTCAAAAATTTTTGAATGAATTCTAGAAAAATAATAATAGTAATAATAATAAATAAAGGAATAAATGAGTTTTGATGTAAATCGAGGGCGGAGCGATCCTGTCTACGATTGAATGGGTGGTAGCGTGGTAGGTAGGGTACGGGTAGATTGATGATGATGATGATAATGATGATAGGGGGGGAACATCGGGGGAAAGTCGCGAAGGGG